TGTGCTTGCAAATGTTATGTTTTTTATGTTGTGACAAGATAACTGCTTATGGCCTAACATTACTGTATATCATATGGATAATATTGCTAGTTTTTTTCTTACTGCAGCCAATATTATCATTTACAGAATGCTTATGTTTTCTTACCATCAAAATTTTACTTTTCATGTTTATATTGCAATGGCTTTTGATTTGGTGTTAATTTTTCCACCACATGTACTAAAAATAAAGAATACTGCTATGAGATGCTGATTGCCGCAGACCACCAGGACCATAACTTGTCTCCAAAAGCATATTATGACTTTTATTAATACCACGAGAAAGTATAAATGATGGTATAATTTATCAGTAACAACGCTTTGAAGGGAATTCTTTTCAGCTGTGGAGTTGTTTAGGAGACAGTGGTTGCTCTTGTGTGTACAAGGCAAATGCCTTTATTCTGTTCCCTGATACTGTGATGCTATTCTGTCTTTGGTAATCATTATTTTTACCTAATACGGTGAACCTGATGGCTTAAAGGGAAACCTAACTTATGTGAGTTATCAGTCAGTTTGATAAAAAGTGAATTTATTAAGTTATAATTCAGATTGTGTTCTGTTTGACCAATTTTTGAGATAAATTTATATAATGCATTTCTCATTGTTCATATGGATAACTGTCATGTTTTAGGTATGTGTCAATTGCCTTCAAACATATACATTGCACCAAGGTATGTGCATGAGTCCACATTGGTCTCCTTTGACCTGTTATGTCACTCTCTTTTTAACACGGATGTAATCTGTAAAGTGTTTTATACAGTGTTCTCAAATACAAAAGCTACTCAATTTCTGGTGGGGTTATGTTTTTACAAACCTATGGTACCATTTTGTTTGTTATTTTTCTCTCATTGGTGGGACAAAATGACAAACACCCAAAGTTATGAAAGGAAAGATTTATCTGTCTCACAGTTTGTGAAGGTTGCAGTCCATAATTAGCTGGCTATAAGGCAGGGTTTCTTGGCAGAGGGGCAACAGTGCATGGTAGTGGAAGATAACGAAAGCAACAAGAGTGAAAATGAGGCATCAAACAAGGCTATTTTTCTCCCTTATTTTGTAAGCAGGTGGTGGTGGGTGTAGTCCTCAAAGAGGGCACTCATCTCCGTGCCTCTTTGTGTCTAGGTTCCAGATGTTTATAAAGTGAGCAACCTGGACCCTGCTGAGTTACTTACTTAAACTTGTCAACTTGGAAACCAGACACATTTCTTTAAATCAGTTTTCACAAACACATGCTTATTATCATTTTACAACTTGAGCATTTTAACACAAGTTGAAAAGTCCATAAGAACCAGTATTCAGTCTATCAAAAATATATTATATTAGAACCATAACAATTGCTCCTGGGCCCCCAAAGACTCATGTACATCCCTTTATGCAAAAGGCATTTAGTCTGTCTGCAAGAGTTGCCTAAGTCCTAACAGTTTCAGCATTACTAAAAAGTTTAAGTCCTGTAGGCGCTGGGGATTTAGCTTGGCGGCACAGCACCTGCCTGGCAAGTGTGAGGTTGTGAGTTCGATTCCTGGTACTGGAAAAAAAACTAAAAACTAAAAACAAAAGAAAACAAAAGTTTAAGTCCCAAGGATCCTCCAAGTGTAAGGTAAACTCTTAGCTGCAAGACCCCTATACGAATGAAAAGTGAAACACTTCCAACATTCAGTAGGACAAGATAAGCTTTTTTGTGCCAAAAGTTACAATTGAGGGTAGAATGGATTGGGAATAAGGCAGCCCAAAATCC